CGCTGAAGTTGCTAGAGAGCCAGACCATTATAAATAGGGAAGCAGGTTGTTTACCATGACAGTAGAAGTGATTTTTTTCTGAAGATATGGGTAAACAATGCAATTTAACAGCCTTTGAACGTGGGATATATATATATACACATATATATATACATATATATATATAGTTGCAGAGATTCCTTAAAATATATCCAGAATCTGATCATTTCTCACTGTAGTAAAGCCAACATCATTCCAACCCCTTCTGCCTTGCTGTCTCTGCACCACAGCAAGAGAGAGCTTTTATTCTGTTTTATTTTTAATTCTCACCCAAGGATATTTTTTCCATTGATTTTTAGACAGAGTGGAAGGGAGAGGGAGAGACAGAAACACTGATGTGAGAGAGACACATTGATTGGTTGCTTCCCGCATGCCCCCTACTGGGGATTGAGCCCACAACCCAGCATGTGCCCTGGTCAACACTCAACCACTGACCACCAGCAGGGCCAGAACACTGTTTTTTAGTCCTCACCTGAGGATATGTTTTCATTGATTTGAGAGAGGGAGGAAAGAAGGGGAGGTAGGTAGGTAGGTAGGTAGGTAGGTACATACATACATACATACATACATACATACATACATGATAGGAGATGTGCGCTAGATCTCTCAAAGCTGTGGCCTGGCACTGGAGCTCAGAAGAAGCGGACTTATAAGAACTGCCTGGGGTTCCAGCAGCCTCCGTGTCACTCAGTCACGATCCTCACTGGTTTCTATAGCCCAGAGTTATGAGGACTTCTCTTCCCAGCTCTGAAATCCTGGGCTGGGAGTCTGGTGTGGGCTGGGACCCCTTGATACCCTTCCCAACTGAAAAAAAAAAAAGCCACACATGGTGTCGGACCAGCCTTTCCACACCCCCGCCTCTCTTACTAGTCTAGATGTACTTTATTTCTCTAGTTGCAGAATCGCCAGATTTCAGGCGGTTCTGAATGATGGTTGTTAATGTATTTTAGTTATAATTTTAATGTGGTTGTGGGAGGTGGTGGCATTTACCTACGCCGCCATCTTGGTTCTCTCTCTCTCTCTCTCTCTCTCTCTCTCTCTCTCTCTCTCTCCTTTTGATTTGCATTTCCCTGATGACTAAAGATGTCAAGCATTATTTACCTGCTCATTGGCCATGGAGAAATGTATATTCAGATCTTTTGCCCATTTTCTAAATTGAGCTATTTGTCTTTTTATTGTTGAGTCCTTTTTTTTGTTAACATTTTAAAAATTGATTTTAGAGAGAAGGGAAGAGCGAAAGGAGAAAGAAATATCAATTTGTTGTTCCCCTTATTTCTGCATTCATTGGTTGATTCTTGTCTGTGCCCTGACCAGGGATAGAACACCTGACCTTGGTGTATGAGGACGTCACTCTAACCAACTGAGCTCCCTGGCCAGGCAAGTCTTTTTTAAAAAAATATATTTTTATTGATTTCAGAGAGGAAGGGAGAGGGAGAGAGAGAGAAACATTAACGATGAGAGAGAATCATGATGGGCTGCCTCCTGTAGGTCCCTACTGGGGATGGAACTCTCAAACCGGGCATGTGCCCTGACCAGGAATTGAACCGTCACCTCCTGGTTCATAGGTCGGCGCTCAACCACTGAGCCACACCGGCCAGGCAAATCTTTATTTTTTAAGTGAACAAAAAAGGGAGGGAAGGAAGGCAGGGGTTTAAACAGTGACAGGAGAAATCTGAATTAAATTGCAGTTTTCTAGTTTCCAAGCTATACGCTTAGTGAAAAATGTGGTAGAGCACTGTTGGAGGAAGTGGAATGTGTCGGTGTTGACTCAGAAGCTGAGTTGTATTCTATCTAGAGGATTCCTCAAAGATTCTGGCTCAGGAAAACCTATTTACGGAGGTTTTAATGGTGTGGGTTTTATTTTCTTAATTAAACATTTGTCTGAGCATAGGGCATCAGGAAGTCTGGATGTGTGATTCTCTCCTTCCTTAATATGGGAACTGAACGAACACTCCCCTTGGCTCACAAAGCTGCTGAGAACTTTGGTTTTGTAGCTTCTTCAGAGTGTATCTTCTCTCAGATGAAATGTTCAGAAAAAGGCCTTTTCAAGTGTGATTTTTCCCTTCCATTGTTGAACAGTGGCCAGGACTTCCCTCCCCACCACCGCTGGGCCAGCAAACTCAGAGTGGTGGGGGGAAGGACTCAGGAGGGGCTGCTTCAGAATGACCTTCCCTTTGCTTTTGCCAGGACCCATGTTTCTGGACCAGATGAAGCTTGAGAAGACCTCCAGCTGTAAGATATTAGGAAGAAAAAACTTCTAAGTCTGGATCTGCAGAAGACTTGCCTCGCCTCTTCACAATGTCAGGTGGGAAGCAGGGACCTGGGCTTGGAAATGGGGTGAGAAGCTCTGCAGAAGGAAGGAAAGCTCTGATCCAGGAGAACCCACTCAGTGTGGTGAAGCGGGCTTGTTTATTTTTCACATACTTTTGAGGGTCGTGACCATCCAGGTAAGAGGTTGAGGAAGGAGGAAGTCCTCTGACGGAGCAGCTGGGAGAGTTACAGCTCTCTTCTCAGCTCAGCTCTCCAATTTTCCTTAAGTCTCTGTCCTCTTCCCCACTTCTAGCTGCAAATCCTCACTTAGTGGAGGGAGAGGCAAGGAGATGGAGTTTGGTGGTGTTTTTAACGTGCTGGTTTTTTGTGTTTTTTCTTTTCCTTCCTCTAGAAATTTGCACATTCCTGAGTTTCTGCCTCTCCCTACCTGTCTCACTTTAGATGGTGCAGTCAGTCCCTTTATGCTCTTGGGGTGGGGGGAGATATCTCAACTTGAATTTTCCCTGTGTGCTCTGCATTGCCTGCATCTCCTATTCCTGGTTTTCCTTGATTTCAGGAAGCTACGTACCTTCTGCCTCTGGTCCCTTCTCAGCCCTGACTCCGAGCATATGGCCCCAGGAGATCCTGGCCAAGCACACGCAGGTACAACAGTGACCAGTGGCTATACTCCCAGTTTGTGGTGCTGAGGGGACCTGCTGCTGCAAGCTCCCAGTGGGTGGCCATGCCATCCTGTTCACACAGGGTCAGAGGCCACCATCAGAGATGGCATCTTAGCTCCACATTCTCTGTGAATGAGTCGTTAGGTTAGAGCAGTGATGGCGAACCTTTTGAGCTCGGCATGTCAGCATTTTGAAAAACCCTAACTTAACTCTGGTGCCGTGTCACATATAGAAATTTTTTGATATTTGCAACCATAGTAAAACAAAGACTTATATTTTTGATATTTATTTTATATATTTAAATGCCATTTAACAAAGAAAAATCAACCAAAAAAATGAGTTCGTGTGTCACCTCTGACACGCGTGTCATAGGTTCGCCATCACTGGGTTAGAATATTATGGCATTATGTACTTAGTATTATGAGGACACAAATGCCTTGATCTTATTTTGTTTGACCTATGGGGAAAACAGAAAATGCCAGGCAAATTCGAGAAGGTAGGGGCCCCTGTAGCTGAGTGATGAACACAGAGGCTTCAGAGGAACACTCAGGTCTTTGATCTAAGTCTTGGCAGCACCATGGGCGGCATATCCAGAACCCGTGGTCCTAGACTGGAGGCTGCATGACTGACTCTTCCTAATCCTGGTTCTAGAAGGAAGAGTCAGTGGAGCAACCAGAGTTCTACTACGACGAGTTCGGTTTCCGGGTGGACAAGGAAGGTGAGATTGAGCCCCTTGAGTGTCATCTTGCAGGTGTTCTTGGCAAGGACCCCAATTCCAGTGACTCGTTATGCAGCTGACCTACACAGTTTAGTTGACCTGCTGTTTAAGCCCAAGTTGTTTAGGGTTCAGCTGGCGGTTGACAGTCTGTGTACACAGAGAGCCAACTGAAGTTATACTCGATCTTTGACCGTGAGGGCAGACGGTGCTCCTAACCCCTGCGTTGTTCAAGGGACCTATGATTTTTTTAGATTAATTTTATTAATCTTTATATGATAATAAAAACAATGTTCCTTGTAGAGAAGTTAAAAATACAGAAAAGTATAAAGATTAAAACAAATTAACCTATAATCCCACAACCTGAAGTTAACTGCTGACATTTTAGTGTATCCTTTGTGTTTTAGTGTAGTTTTGTGTTTATATCTATATATACTTATCATGTATATGTTTTGTTTTACCTTACTTTTAAAAATATTTTTATTGATTTCAGAGAGAAAGGGGGAGAGAGAGAGAGAGATATCAATGATGACAGTCACTACCTCCTTCACGCCACCCCCACTGGGGATCGAATCCGCAACCCGGGCCTGTATCCTGATTGGGAATGGAACTAGGACCAGGAGGTTGATGCTCAACCACTGAGCCACTCCAGCCCGACTGTTTTACCTTAATTTTTTTTTCAATTACAGTTGACATTCAATATTATTTTAGTTTCATGTGTACAGCATAGTGGTTAAACATTTATGTAACTTATGCAGTGATCACCTCAATAAGTTTAGTACCCACCTGGCACCATACATAATTATTACAATACTAGAGGCCCGGTGCACGAAATTCATGCAAGGGAGGGGGTTTGGGGGTGGTGGTGGTGTCTCTCAGCCCAGCCTGTGCCCTCTTGGAATCCGGGACCCCTCAGGTAGGGTCCCTAGGCCTGGCCAGTGATCAGGGCCTATCAGGGCTTTCCTTCCCCCCGGCTGCCGGCAGCTGGCCCTGCCCCTGCTGTTGCCACTGCTTGCCATCTGTGCGGCGCTGCCCCCTCTGCTGGCGTGGGGTGCAATCGCTTGGCTGGCCTAGGCCTCCCTCTGTGGGGCAATCAATCGCAGAGCTCCGCAATTGATCGCCCAGCCGAGGCAGGCCCCGCCCACCTGGCTGGGGCTCCGTGATCGATTGCTGCACAGAGGGCGGCCTAGGCCTTCCTCTTTGGGCTGATCGCAGACCTTCCCCCCCCCCCCCCCCCCCCCCCCCCCCCCCCCAAGCCCCCCCCCCCCCCCCGATCAATTGCCCTGCCGGCTGGTGGCCTGGGCCTCCCTCTGCGGGGCAATCATGGGGTGATGGCAGGGCCCCCCAACCAATCGCATTGCACCCGTCTTGGCTGGCCTGGCGCCAGTGTGTGTCATAGCATGGTCGTCTGGACGGTCATTCTGCTGTTCCGTGGTTCAGTTGATTTGCATATTACGCTTTTATTATTATAGACTAGTGGCCCGGTGCACAGATTAGTGCACATTGAAAGGAAATTAATTAGAAGAAATATTTTAATGTCGCTATTCGTCCTTTCTCTATAATAGAAGTGTCAACCAAATTCATGATCAACAATGACAGATTGAAACACGTGTGTGATTGGCACCAGCGAGAGCTTTATATGTATCGTGCATGCGCAAGTCAACTTAGCCTTTTATATATATAGAATAAACTTCCTTAATTATACCTGCTTTCTGATTTAGCTAAACTTTTTCCAGCCCAGTGAAGCACCCCAACTTCTCTTTCAGGTAATTGTCAGCAGTACAGCAGTAAATATCAACATGAAGCAGATTATTATTGTAGATCACGCAGGTAGAACCGAGGGTAAAATATTTAACTGCAGCAGTGTTTGACTATATTCTGCACAGTGAGAAAACCTGAAGTCATTTTCAAGGTCTACCATTTCTTCTTTTCAGTTGGGTTCTAAACTTTCTAAATCTCCGTTTTTCCGCTAATGAAAGGAAAATGGGATTCTACTGAGTCTCCTATCAACCTACTCCAGGGCTTCTGTGAGGATCAAATGAGATGAGGCACGGAAAAACAGTTCACAGACATTTGGTTAAAGTGTAAAATGTTTGCACCTGGCTATAAAGCAAGTCGGGTCCTTGGGCTGAAGAAACTCCAAGGTGGCTAGTTGTGAGGGAGAAGAAGCCGGGCGTTGCTACATGACATCATTACCTGGCGCCCACAGCGATCGTTTCTGGGCTGGGCTGTGGGCTGCATTTTGCGCCATGGGGTCTCGGCAGTGTAGGCTGCAATTTGGTGGGGTGTCGCTCTGGGGTGGTGGCGGGGTCTGTGTCCCACTTGGGGGAAGCTGAGTGTTGCTTTGTGGGTGCCAGGTCCACAGTGCCGTTTCTTTGTAAATCGCCAGTGCGCATCACGGCAGCTCCTGCCTTGAGTGTCTGCCCCCTGGTGGTCAGTGTGTGTCATAGTGACCGGTCGGAGGGACATTTAGCATATTAGCCTTTTATATAGAGAGATTATTGACTATATTCCCATGCTGTACTTTACATCTCCATGACTATTCTGTAACTACCAATTTGTACTTCTTTTATTTTCTTTTTTAAAAATTAACTTTATTGGGCTGACATTGAAATTTTATAGATTTTGCCCTGGCCAGTGTTGCTAAGTAGTTAGAGCATTGGCCCATGCATCAAAGGGTCTCAGGTTCAATCCCCAGCCCGTCAGGGTGCGCATGGGAGGCAACCAATCGATGTCTCTCTTTCTCATATGGATGTTTCTCTCCCCCTCCTCTCTGTCTCTCCCTCTTTCTTCCTCCCATCCACTCGCTCTCAAAATCAATGTAAAAAATATCCTCAGGTGAGGATTAACAAAAACTATATTTTATATATTTTATATTGTTATATATTGTATACATTTTTCAATTTTAAGACTTTTCAAACACTCTGGCTTTGGGAACATACACATATGCATTCTCCATTTGACAGCATAGGTTCATATTTTGTTTTCTTCTTGCATACCATATATGGTTTCAGATACAATGAGATTTAAATAATATTTTTATGATGCCTTTTAAAATTTGTTAGTGTATTAGTCAAAATTCTCCAAAGAAACAAAAGCTGTAAGATAGATAAGACAAATGATGATAGTAGATAGATAGATAGATAGATAGATAGATATTATAGGAATTGGCTTACATGATTATGGAGGCCAAGATGTGCCAGGATCTGCTGTGTGCAACCTGGAGACCCAAGAAAGTTGGTAGCAGTGTAATTCAATGTGAGTCGGAAGGCACATTGAGAACCAGGGAAGTCAATATCTGTGGGTAGGAAAAGATGAGTGCCTCAACTGAAGCTGAAAGAACAAATTCACCCTCTCCACTTTTGTTTTATTCAAGCCCTCAATGGATGTTTTTATTGATTTTTTTAGAGAAATGGGGTGGGGGGAGGGAGAGAGACACATCAATCGGCTGCCTCCTGCACACCCTGCACTGGGGGTTGAGCCTGTACTGTAACCCAGGCATGTGCCCTAACCAGGAATCGAACCGGCTACCTCCTGGTGCGTGCATCTGCTCAACCAGCTGAGCCACACCAGCCAGGCTACGTGTTTTTATATTGCTCATAGAGCGCAACATCATATCATGAGCATTTTTTTCTCAGTTAAGACCTCTTTTAAAGCATATTTTTCAGTGGCTGCGTAATATCCCATTATAAGGGGTTTAGCATAATATTTTTATAGCCATGTTTCTGTGAGTGGGCCTGCAGGCCATTTCCATTGTTTCCTAGTATAAATGCACCTGTTGGTTCCTGAGTGGGCTATGGGGAAAGCCATTTTCCAGAACCTGGGATGGTCTCTCACCAGGATATAACTGTGACTAGAAGATTTTAATTGGTTGAAACCAGTCATCTTCAGGTCATTCGTATTTACAATTCTGACATAAGTTTTCCTTATTCTCTAGTTTGCAGGCATATATTTGGAAGTCAGAACTCAGGAAACTTTCTAGTATGATGGAAGTAGTCTATATCTCCATGGGGACAGTGTTTATACATTTGTTTATTGATACTCACCAAAATGTTCCCTTAACATTTGTGCATTTTACTGTATGAAAATTCACTAAAGCTGAGGCTGTGACTTAGGACGAGTGAGGACGAGGCTTTCTGTGGGGCTGACTCACACTGAGACTGCCAGGTGGCTGGCAGGCTCGTCCATGTTGACTGGAGCAGTTCAGGAGGCCGACTGTTGTCCACTCCCCCCTGCTGCATCCCCAGTACCCTGAACAGAACCGAAGGTGGTCTTGGCCTCATGGAGTTCCCCAGCAATAAACAAACAAATCTATGATATGCTGAGGGGAAAGAGCTATGAAAGAATTCCGGGAACTAGGGAGGAGGGAGGTGGATTGTTTATAGGAAGGCTTCTCCAAGGCGGACACATTTGATCGGAGACTGGGAGGAAGAGAGGCAGTGAGTATGTGTAGCCAAGGAAGTGGAACAATAAGTGCAAAGGCCCTGGAGCAGGAGTGGATTTGGTGGGGAGTAGCTGGGGTGGAGGAAGCAAGAGAAAGGTAGGAGATGAGGCCAGGGAGAAGACGGGACAGGAGGAGGTGGGTCACAGAGCGTGGTGAGGCGCCCCTGCTGGTGGCAATTGGTAGGAGTGAGCGGGCGGGTGGGTAGCACTAGAGGGCTCTGAGCAGAGTGCCGTGTCTGACTTGCCTCGTCAAGGGTGCTCTGACTGCTGTGGAGGATCGCCCTTAGGGAGGCGGGCGGAACAGGGAGGAAGGCTGGTGGGAACCCGCAAGGAAGGTGATGGCTTGGATGGGCAGTGGTCAGAGGTGGTGAGTGGAGAGATTCTGCCTATGCTCTGAGGGCTTGATCCTGGGGTAGAAGTGGAGGTGGTTCTGAGGTTTAGGCCCGAGCATCTGGAGAGTGGAGGGGGCCTGTGGGTCTGGGAGATCTTGGAAGGGCAGGTTTGCGGGGAGAGTGAAGTGCTCCTTGGGCCATGGGAACTGTAGCTCTGGGTTTCCGTGGTGGATCTGGGCCCTGGACCGGAAGCCCAGACACATTTTCCTTCCTCCTCGCTCACCGCCCTGTCCTGGGTGCTCTCCTGGCAGAGGGTGCCGACCCCAGTTCCAGCAGGCTGCCTGCTGTGTCTCTGATGGAGGACCCTCCCCAACGGCTGCGGTGGCAGGCCCACCTGGAGTTCACCCATAACCACGATGTGGGCGATCTCACCTGGGACAAGATTGCCGCCTCCCTGCCCCGCTCGGAGAAGCTCCGCTCCCTGGTGCTGGCCGGCATCCCACACAGCATGAGGCCACAGGTGAGGCCATGGAGGCCAGGCCACCGAGGGCCACAGAGGCTCAGGTGTCTCACCAAAGACTGAATGCTTATTGGCTCCTCCTCTCAGCTGTGGATGCGGCTCTCCGGGGCCCTGCAGAAGAAGAGGAACTCGGAGTTGTCCTACCGGGAGATGGTGAAGAACAGCTCCAACGATGAGACCATTGCTGCCAAACAGGTGAACGGGGTGGTCCTGCAGGCAGGCAGTGGTCTGCCTGGGGTTACAGGAGTCCCCTTGTTGGTCTCTCCTTGGCAAGGTGGCCGGGGAGAGCACAGCAGCTGCATAGCAGGCCTGGGCAGTCCTTTCACCCACAGATGTGTGCCTGGGCATTTTGGCTCCCTCCTGGGTTCTCTGTAGGCAGCAGGGGGAATTGTCAAAAAGGTCATCTAACCAGGTGCACATCAGGAGCACCTGGAGACTTAAGTACACATTTCCAGGCCTCATTCCAGAGATCCTCATTCTATAGTTCTGGCCCGAAGCCCAGGAGTCTGCATTTTGTTTGTAGTTCCCCAAGTGAATCTGGTAGAATCAGCTACAAACAGTAGCTGGCTCTACTCCTGAAGAGAGGAGCACAAGGAATCCCCATTCCTGGGAGAGAAGCCCACCTGGGGTGTGCCCTCTCGTGCCAACAGCGTGGAGGGTGTGGGCCCACAGGCGTGCAGCAGTTTCATGGGCTCTTGTTGTGGGTGGGCCGCTGACAGATTGAGAAGGACCTGCTCCGCACCATGCCCAGCAACGCCTGCTTCGCCAATGAGAGCAGCATCGGGGTGCCCCGCCTGCGCAGGGTTCTCCGAGCACTGGCCTGGCTCTACCCTGAGATTGGTTACTGCCAGGGCACAGGCATGGTGAGCACAGTTGGGAAGGGGAGGGGGTGTCCCCAAGAGTGTTCTCCAAGCCCCAGGGACCAATCCAGGGCAGTAGGACCGGAAGCAGGGGTGGAGGTGGGAGTACCCAAGGAGGGCTGTAGCTGCCAAATACGGTGGTTCTATCCTGAGGAAGGCACACGGTCCATGACATGACCCTCAGAAGGGTGCTGCTTCTCATTCGTGTGGAGACCTGGGTCGAGGCCCCTTGTCCCCCTGCCCTGGCCAGGTGGCCGCCTGCCTCCTGCTGTTCCTGGAGGAGGAGGACACCTTCTGGATGATGTGCGCCATCATCGAGGACCTGCTCCCTGCCTCCTACTTCAGCACCACCCTGCTGGGCGTCCAGACAGACCAGCGGGTCCTGCGCCACCTCATTGTCCAGTACCTGCCCCGCTTGGACAAGCTGCTCCAGGAGCATGACATCGGTAAGGGCCGCCCGTCCTCTCCAGGGTTGAGGACTTTTGCCATGCTGACTCAGATACTGTGGATCTGGGGCTTCCTGGCAGAGCCTGCAGGGGGCGCAGCAGCTGGCTGCCTTCGGGGAAGAAAGGAGCTCCTCTGAGGATGACTGACAGGGGATGCGGCACATGCAGTCTTCGTTGCTCTTGTTCTCTGACGTTGCACTGTCTCCTCCCTCCCCTTGGAGCAGGGTGGGCCTCCTGCTTTTTGGGAGACACTTTTCACCCTTCCCCAGCTCCTGGCGGTGCCCCTTCTCTCAGACTATCTCATGCCAGTGTCCCTGGTTGTGTCCACAGAGCTGTCGCTGATCACGCTGCACTGGTTCCTCACGGCCTTCGCCAGCGTGGTGCACATCAAGCTGCTGCTGCGCCTCTGGGACCTGTTCTTCTACGAGGGCTCCCTGGTGCTCTTCCAGGCCACGCTGGGCATGCTGCGCCTCAAGGTGCGGCTGCAGGGCCCCCCCCCCACCTCCCGCCACGCTGCCCAGCTGCCCATGAGCCCATGGGCCAGACGCAGCTGGTGCTCCTCCTCTGGGGCATGCAGTGGGGTCCACGCTTCAGCATCCTGTGGCCTGAGCATGAGCCCCTCCTGAGAGCCCCTGGGGGGGTGTCTCCTGGGGCCAGGGACTCCCTTGTGCTCAGCTGATCTTCCAGGGAAGTCACACATGGCTGGGGTGCTGATTGGGGTCAGCTCACGGGCCTGGTGCCAGGCAGTGACTCCCCCTTTCCCCTCACATGGCCCAGGAGGAGGAGCTGATCCAGTCAGAGAACTCGGCCTCCATCTTCAACACGCTGTCGGACATCCCCTCGCAGATGGAGGACGCGGAGCTGCTGCTGGGGGAGGCCATGCGGCTGGCTGGCTCCCTCACGGACGTGGCTGTGGAGACCCAGCGCCGCAAGCACCTGGCCTACCTCCTTGCAGACCAGGGTCAGCTGCTGGGGACCAGCACCACCACCAACCTCTCTCAGGTGGGCCTGTGAGGGAGGAGCCATGAGGACCCCCGCTGTGCCGTCCCCTCCCCAACTTACCACCCAGGCTAGGCCTGGCCCAGCAGACCCAGCTGTGGGGTGGCACCCAGTTTGGGTGTAGGAAGACCCAGCTTTGAACTGACAGTACATTTCTGACCCCAGCCGGCCTCAGAGGCCATTTCCCATGAGGTAGTCCCTGTGAGAGGCCCGAGCTGCCCCCAGGAAGGCTCTGTGCCCTTCCTCTGGTGCCGAGATTCCCTCCACTCGGCTGGGCCCTGGGAGCCCTCCTGCTGCTGACCCATTCCCGTGCCTGCAGGTGGTTCGTCGCAGGACGCAGCGGAGGAAGTCTGGTTTCACCTCCCTGCTCTTCGGTGAGTCCTGGCCCAGTTCAGCGGTTTCTTCACGGCCAGTCGAGTCTAAGCTCTTGGAGGCTGGGGTTGGAGGGCAGCGAAGACGGGGGATGTCCGTCATCCTCACACTCTGGGGTGGACCCTGAGCTTCCTTGGCGTTGGGAAGGGGACCAGGCGGGAGCCATGGCTGTCACAGCCTTTTGGAACCTCAGGGGAGGACGACCTAGAGGCACTCAAGGCCAAGAACATCAAGCAGACGGAACTGGTGGCTGACCTCCGGGAAGCCATCCTGCGCGTGGCACGCCATTTCCAGTGCACTGACCCCAAAAACTGTAATGTGGTGAGTCGCATGCTCCCAGTTCTGTGCCCAATGGGTCGACTTGGGGGGCTCTCGTTTCCCAGCCCTATCCTGAGGCGCCTTCCCCTTGGTGGGCCTTCCCACTTCTCTGGCAGGAGCTGACCCCAGACTACAGCATGGAGAGCCACCAGCGGGACCACGAGAACTACGTGGCCTGCTCACGCAGCCACCGGCGCAGGGCCAAGGCCCTGCTAGACTTCGAGCGACACGATGACGATGAGCTAGGCTTTCGCAAGAATGACATCATCACGGTGTGTGGGGCGAGGCTTGGGAGGTGGGTGCTCAGAGGCAGGTGGAGCCTGGTTGCTGGGAGCAGGTACCATTGGTCCTGCCACCTGCCGGCCCTGAGGGTACAGCCAGATTATTCAGCCTCAGCCAAGCCCTCTCCCTGCCGAGTATTTCCATCCACCTGGCTGAGGATGAAACTGGGTGGTGTGTGAGGCACTGGGCCCAGGCAACCACAGCTTTGCCTCCTGCTCTTTTTCTCTACAGATCATTTCTCAGAAGGATGAGCACTGCTGGGTCGGGGAGCTGAATGGCCTAAGAGGTGAGGCTGGTCACTCTTTGCTACATCCCTCCTGGCCCCCTCCCCTCACCAGGAACTTGGCTGAGCCTGTCCTCAGCCCCATTGGGGGGGAGGGTGGAAGTGTGGGGACACCAGGCTCCTCACAGGACCCTGCCTCTCCCACAGGCTGGTTTCCAGCCAAGTTTGTGGAAGTCCTGGATGAACGGAGCAAAGAGGTAAGAAGGGCACAGGGCAGGGCTGCCCCTGGGAGCTGCTGCTGCCTCCACCCTGGCAAGGCCTGCACCCTCCTGGCCAGGGCCTGTGTCCGGAGCGAGTTCTGGCTTGAGGCAGGGGATGTGAGGACAGGGACAGGGTGACTGGCTGCAGGTGCAGGGCTGGGGCCTCTCAGACCCCATCCCCCACCAACAGTACTCCATCGCGGGGGATGACACTGTAACGGAGGGCGTCACAGACCTTGTGCGAGGGACCCTCTGCCCAGCCCTCAAGGCCCTGTTTGAACACGGACTGAAGAAGCCGTCTCTGCTCGGGGGTGCCTGCCACCCCTGGCTGTTTATTGAGGAGGTGAGTCCGTAGCTGGACCCATGTCCTCCACCGTCCTTTTCCCCAGGTCCCTGGGCTCTGTGGAGCTGGCAGGAGGAGCTCATGGGTTGGTGATGTGCACTGACTTGGACCCTGTAGCTTTAACTTGGAACTACCCCATTGTCCCTGATGTTCTCTCCCTACAACCCCCAGGCAGCAGGCCGGGAGGTGGAGAGAGACTTCGACTCGGTGTATTCTCGCCTGGTGCTGTGTAAGACATACAGGTAACTGGGCCCCAGTCCCCCACGTTGGCAGGGGTCCTGGCAGCATCATGGGGGAAGAGAGCAGCCCAAGCCTGCACATCTGGCAGCTTTGGGTTCCTCTCTTCCCCAGGTTGGATGAAGATGGCAAAGTTCTGACCCCGGAGGAGCTGCTCTATCGGGTAGGCAGGGCCGTGGGTGGGGTCTGGCTCCTGGGCTGGCAGCTGGGGCACCTGTGTGACAGCTGTGTCCTCCCAGGCAGTGCAGTCTGTGAATGTGACCCACGACGCTGCACATGCACAAATGGATGTCAAGCTCCGCTCTCTCATCTGTGTGGGGCTCAAGTGAGTGTCTGTGCCTACTGTGGGCGTGACAGTCCATAGTCGGATGAGTGGCAGCCTAGGCTGTGGCCCTATGGGGGAGCAGGGGCTGTGAGCTGGGCCTTCTAGGCCCCCAGGAGTTGGACAAATGGAAAGTGGCAAGGGTGACCCCCAATGACCTTTCTCCAGCACAAGACCAGCTGCTGCTTTATGGGGAAGGTGCTTGAGGATTTATGAAGCACAGACTTTAAGCAACATGACCAGTGAAGGGGCTTCCCAGAAATGAATCTACTGCAGCAAACTAGGGAGGGGGTGCCTGCCTGAGAGGCCTTGGGCATTTGTGAGGCTCAGGTCTGGGTGAAGGAGATGTTCCTAGATTTGCCCTCTAGGGTGGGAGGAGGAGTGGTTTGCAGAGGCACAAATGTCCCCGAGACATGCTCAGAATATGGCTGTGACCCCAGCAGGCTGGTGAGTATGCACTTCACTCCTGGACTGGCCAGCAGGGGTCAGTGATCCACCTCCTTTACTCTCAGATGCAGAGAGGAAAGAGCTGTGACAGGACGGAGGGCCCTGGGGGCAGTGGGTCCCTGAGTGTGTCTCCCAGTGTGAGGGAGCTGGAGCCAGGGGCTGAGAGTAAAGGAGGTGGGGACACCTGAGGAGGCCGAGAAGTGGAGGAAAGGGGGCTGGGGTTAGAGGAACCCTGGAGTGGCGATAGCCCAGCCAGCACTGGAGGGGAGAACCCCACTCATGGTCCTCAGAAGGTTCTATGGATGGCCCACTCTCCCCACCTGTCCCCAGTGAGCAGGTCCTACACCTGTGGTTGGAGGTGCTCTGCTCCAGCCTGCCAACCGTGGAGAAGTGGTACCAGCCCTGGTCCTTCCTGCGAAGCCCCGGCTGGGTCCAGATCAAGTGTGAGCTCCGGTGAGGACCCTGCTCTGGTGGCCCTGGGGTCGGGGGACAGAAGGAGCTGACCTGAGGGTGACTGACAGCTTCCCCTTCCTCCCCTCCAGTGTCCTCTGCTGCTTTGCCTTCAGCCTCTCCCAGGACTGGGAACTTCCTATGAAGAGAGAGGTGGGTGGTGGGGGTTGGTCCTTAGCCCAGCAACCTGCCTTCCTCCTGGAGGGCTGCGGTGGGTGTGGTGGCTGAGGCAGGGCCCCTGCCACCTTGGGCTTCCTCGCTCTGTGCAGGAGGAGAAGAAGCCCCTGAAGGAGGGCGTCCAGGACATGCTGGTGAAGCACCACCTTTTCAGCTGGGATATAGATGGGTGACACTCTTCCTCCAATGGCCCTGTCACGCCCAGACCTCTCCCAACCGGTCGGCTACCAGAGCAGCTGCTTCCTTAAGAAGAGAAAGGCGTTGGGATGGGGGCTGACGTGGTCCAGGCCTAACCCAAGCTACGGGACCAAGGGAAGACGACACTGGAGTTTGGCCAGGCACCATGGTAGGAGATTGGAGACACCACCCTGGTGGCAGCAGGTGGGGCCTGGCCCACTCTATCCCTCCCAGTGTCTATGGAGGCTCCAGGCCCCACCCTCACTACTTGTACTGACCAAAAACCTCATGAGGAGGTGGAGAGCCACCTCTGTCTGCTTTTGCTCAGGAAGGGAGTGGGGGTGGCTAAAGGCTCCTCAGCCTGTAAATAAATTGTCTTTGAGAAGCACCTTCTGTCTTCAATCCAATTGGGACCATAGAACCATATGTCCAAGGTTCTGCCCTTTCTGGAATGGCCTAGAACGGACAACCTGGCTGGGAAGGTGGGGTTAGGGTGTAGGGCCCAGCCATACCACCCACCTCATCCATAGATTGACCAAGAGGAACGAACAAGCTGGTGTTTTTGCTTTTATTTTAAAAAGTTCACACAGCTTCCCCACCTCTGTCCCAGCACTGGTGACCCCCCCTCCCCAAACCCCTAGAATAACAGTGACAGCCAGAAGGGAGGCTGGGCCCCAGGGCAGGAGGAAGCCATAGCTTGAGGGCTACATATGGCCCCACTATGGCGCTAATGCCCCTCCTGTCCCAGGGCTGTGGTGGCTGCAGTGAGGCAGCAGGACGGAATGTGGGCAGGTGGCCAAGATGCACCTCTGCCCTCGTGGCACTGGTAACGAGCAGGACAGGTGGGGTACAGGCTGTGATGGGGTGTCTACATGTCAAACACACGTGATGGGTGGAGCAGGGGTCTCCAGACCCTTCTATATGTGCACAGTAGGATGGGAGGGAACTTCATCCACCTCTTACCCCCAAAAAATATATGTATATATATGTATGGCGATATATAATATAGAGGTATGTACACCTGTACAGAACATGTTTGCCACCAACCACTAAATGGTTACTCTACAGCAAGACACTAACATGGCAGTGCCTCCCCCAGCCTAGGAAACCTGGGGTTAGGGTCACGGGGAATGGGGAGGTAGAGGCCCAGTTTTTCTTTCCCTTGTAGGGAAGAGAAGGGAAGGAGGGAGTTCATACCTCGCCCACCTGAGCAAACTGTAGCCAGGCAGGGTACCTCCAACCTCACAAAAGGAGGTCAAATAGAAAGTCCCTAGCCTGTCCAGGTCTCCAAAACCCCTGGGTGACCCTGAGCCAGGGAGGGGAAAGCAGGGCCTGTGATTGTCAGGACTCACGACCACGCAGAGCTGGATCCCGCAGGAGAGAGCTGAGCTCCCTAGAGTTCCTGAGGCTCCCCAGCTTCCAGCCCCTCCAGTTCCCTGGCAAACCTGAGAGCTACAAGCAGGAATCCCAATGCAGCTGCAAGTCATGGCCATCAAGGAAGTCCGTGGAGAAGAGGCTGGGGGCTGTGTTGCTGAGTGGGGCCAGGCTGAGCACGGGGCCACCTGATGACAGCTCCAGCCAGTCCATGCTGTCCAGGTGGCCATCAGCCAGGTCCAGGCCCATGCTGCTGGGCTCGGGGGCAAAGTGCAATTCCGAGGTGTCCATGGGTGAGGGGGGATGGTCCAGGATGGCAGAGCTGCTCAGCATCTGACTGTGGAGGTCGTCAATGAGGGAGAGGGGCTCTGGCCCCTCATGTCCGCCAGTCAGCAGGGGTAGCCCAGTGCTGCTCTCCAGGAAGTCCTCCAGGCGCCCAGGAAGAACAGGTGAGGTCGAGGGCAGGGCCGCCTGGGGAAGCTCAGCAGAGGGTGGGGACTGTGTGGCCAGGGGCGACCCACAGGCTGCTGTTGCGGGGGGCTTCTCTTTCCCTGGCAGTGATGGTGGCTCCTTGAAATCTGCTGAAATTTCTACCAATCAAGAAAGTGAAAGGATGTCAGAAACCAGGCCTCAATAGGACCTAAAGTTGGACTCTACCTTATACCATGTATGTATAAAAATTAACTCAAAATGGGTCAAAGATCTAAATTCAAGAGCTAAAACTACCAAATTCTTAGAAGAAAACTGGACTACAGTAAAATTTAAAATTTGTATATCAAAGGACACTATCAAGAGACTGAAAAGATAACCCATGGAATTGGGAGGAAATATTTACAAATCATATATCTGATAAGTGATTCATATCCACAACAAAACCCAACTGCAAAATGGGCAAAGGACTCAGAATTTCTCCAATAGAAGGTACACAAATGGCCTATAGGCACATGAAAAAATGCTTGACATCACTAGTCATCAGGGAAATGCAAATCAAAACCACAATGAGGTACTGCTTATCCACTGGGATGGCTATAAAGAAGAATATATATATTAGTGATACGGAGAAATCTGAACCCTGTCCACTGCTGGTATGCATGAAAGGTGCAGCTGCTATGGCAAAGTTTTGTGGTTCCTCAAAAAGGTAAATATCGAAAACTTTATGATCCAACAACCCCACTTCTGGGGATACACCCAAAGTAAGTGAAAAGCGTGCAGGGACTGAGAGATCTGTACACCCATGTGCACAGCAGCATTACGCAGAGTAACCAAGAGGTGGAAACAACCTGGGTGTCCATCAGTGGAGAATGGATCAACACAATGTGATACACCCATTTGACGAAGTATTCAGCCATAAAAAGGAAATTCTGCACATGCTATGTGTATGAATCTTGAGGACAGAACCAACGGGGACAAAGACTGCATGATTCCACTTATGTGAGGTCCCTAGGGGAGTCAACATCATGGAGACAGAAAGAATAGGACAAAGGTTACCAGGAACTGGGGGGAGGAGGGCAGGTTACTGTGAAATGGGTAAACGAGTGTCAGTATAGGAGGAAGAAGTTCTAGAACAGTGGTGATGGTTGCACAACACTGTGAATGTACTTAATGCCACTAAGTTGTATATTTAAAGTGGTTAAATGGCAAATCTTGTGTATTTTCCCATAATCAAAATTATGCAGAAACTAGGCTTGCTCCCTGACCTAGGTCCTATCTTCCCACCCACTCTGCTCCCGTCCCAGCTGGACACACTGCTATGACCAGATGACCAGCTCCCTCTGAGGTAGCTTGTCAACCTGCCCAAATACCACCACTGAGGATGCTGCCACTCTACCCATCTGATTCAAATGCCCTCTTCTTCTGGCATCCTTGCCACCTTCTCTCTGGCCACTTCTCAGCACTCCCCTCCTCTTTCTCTGCCATCTCTCGAGGCTGGAGCTCAAGGCCTGCTCCCTTTTTTTTTTAAATAAAATGTTGACATAAAATTGACCATTTTAAAGTGTACAATTCCATGGCTGGGCTCCCACTTTACCTTCCCATCTTAATCCTCTTCCTATTGACGTAATTAAGGCAGTTGAAAGAGAACTTCCACACACTCTGCCTTGTGCCTACTGCCACTAATGAAATCCCTGTGCTCAGACTCCTCCAGACCTGCTGCTTCCCACACCTTCAACCCACTTAAAAGGCACTTGCCCCTGGTCCCACTGTAACACCCTGGCTGAGGTCTCCGTCTTCCCTGACCACCCATCAGCAGCCCTTGGCTTCAGAAGCAGCTCACTGCCCAGCCTCATCTGCTTGTGTCCCCAACTCCATCTCGTTCTCTCTGTTCACCCAGCCTCTTGGCTCTGCCAATCTAGACACCAACAACTCCCAAATCACTGCCTCCAGCCCAGACCTCACCTGGGCGGTGTCCACATTGATTCCTCCAGTTTTGGGGACATAATCTAAGCCCAGCTGAGGCTGCACCTTATACGTCCCCCCCACACCCCACCGGAGCTCCCCCGCAGTCACACAGCTGCATCCTAGTGACTCAGGCTGAAACCCTTGGTGTCATCCTTCCTAATCCATAAGGAAGTCACACTGGCACTCCAAAATATACCCAGGCTCCAGCCTTCTCCTCTTCACCACTGCCTCCCAAGCCTCGCCCCTGGCCTCTGGCCTGGATCACTCCAGGCTCCTGCCCTTACACCTGAACACTCCTCAAAGATGTGTGGTTCTGGCGTCAGAGTCAAAGCTTCTCTACCCTGCACCCAGGAGGCCTTGTGATCTGCCCCTGCCCTGACTTCTGCACCTGCTCACCAACCACCCACCGTGCACCTCAGACCTCTCTTCCCTCTTCATAGCACTTCTCTAACATGATATAATTTACTTGTCTTGTCATTTATCTCTCACAAAAAGGCATTCACTATTTTGCTCACTGCTATGTCCCAGGGCTGCAGGGACAGTGCCTGCCAGGCAGTGGGTGCTGGGTAAAGCGAACGTGTTGCTACACCCCCTCCCCCAGCCCCTGGAGAGCATGCATCTCAGCCCTTGCTGCATCTAAAGTACAAAAACACAATCGACCAACCCACTGAGGGCTGGAGACAACCTATGGGGAAAGGAGGAGGTTGGGGAGGTAGCTCGGGGCCTTACCTCCACTCTGAATAAGAATGTCAAACAGGTCATCCATCTGTTGGCTCGAGGAACCATTTTCCTATGGGAGAAAAATAGGAAGAAAAAAAAACAAGATGAAAATCTACAACAGGAGGCCCCCAGCCAGGCTCAAGGTATAGATAGGCCTTCTTCCCCTCTGCCCCTGAGCCGGCAGCCAGACCAGAATGACCCCCTCCCTCAGGCCTCTCAGCCCTTGCTGCATCTAAAGTACAAAAACACAATCGACCAACCCACTGAGGGCTGGAGACAACCTATGGGGAAAGGAGGAGGTTGGGGAGGTAGCTCGGGGCCTTACCTCCACTCTGAATAAGAATGTCAAACAGGTCATCCATCTGTTGGCTCGAGGAACCATTTTCCTATGGGAGAAAAATAGGAAGAAAAAAAACAAGATGAAAATCTACAACAGGAGGCCCCCAGCCAGGCTCAAGGTATAGATAGGCCTTCTTCCCCTCTGCCCCTGAGCCGGCAGCCAGACCAGAATGACCCCCTCCCTCAGGCCTCTCTGACCTCACAAGACTGGCTCCTGCCCACCCCTATCCTCCAGCTGGACTCGGGGGAGTTGCGGGAGCCCAGCAGCCTAGGTACCGCCCAACGTGGCCAGGCCTCAGTCTACCTTCTTCACCTGCTGTCTGGGCTGCTGGTTCACGGCTTCCTCATAGCCAGGCGGCTCCTTCTTCGGCAGAGAAGTGGAGGTCCCAAATGGGGGCTGTGGCAGGTGCTCCAGGTCCATCTGGGCTGCTGGGACAGGGGCTGGAGAACCAGGCTGGGACAAGGGCTGGACAGAATGGGGAGAGGAGCAGTGATTGGCATGAGGGAAACAGCCCAGGGATCTGCACACTCAAGGAGCACAGGCAGGAGGCGCCTACC